TCAGCCAAAAATGATCAAATCAAACTTAATAAGCATGCATGTACCTTAAATATGACCATCAGAAACACAAACACAGGTTTGACCTTTACTGATAACGTTCTTAAGAGCGGATGCATCAAGATGACCTCTGTTTGTCTTCACTAAAATGTAAAGTATGTTGATGACTATCCTGTGTGCCTGTCTGTCCTCGAGTGTCAGATAATTGACAAATCAAAATGTGTGCACCTGCCTGAATGCTATGGTGGCACCTAGGGCTGGCACCATATCAGACTTTTAGTATGCAATTATTGTGGACAAAAGGTTCACGCTAACAATATAATCACAATATCTACAGCACATTTGGAAACAACAACAATAATGATAATACTAACAATGTTAATAATAATGCCATGAGTCAAATTCATCTTTACTTGTCCCTCTTTTTGGCAAATAAACCAAACTCAAAATATGAGTGTAGGGTGGTGGAGAGAGAATCTGTAACCATAACTGTAAAAATTATACAAAAAGAGCATTTACACTTAATAGATAGTGACCAGGCAATGAGATGGGAGACAAAGCCAGAGCAAAGAGAAATAGAATTCATATATCAATATTTCATTTTTAAATACCATAGTTATCACAGGTACAGGCATATCGCAGCCCTCCTGGCATCATGTCTGGCTATCAAAATAAAGCATGTGATTAAGTATGATAAAAATGTTGCTTTGGCCGCACAGAATCTGATGAGTCACAGTTTACTGTGTAACACATATTACATAGCCTTTTCTCTAATAAGATAGCGAGTCATAATTATGGAACACATAAGTCACAATCATGAGTGAGTTAAGATACACATAATAACTTGTCCAGAGTGACACACAAAGAAAAGTATGTAAAAAAAACAGTATTGTTGCACTCTATGTCCAACATGTTTCTTGTTTCTCACTCAGCTTCATACTGAGCCTCCTGAACTGTACTGACTCCCTCTGCTGGTGATTTGTCCTGTACTCTGCACAGCTGTGGGGCTGAAGTGGAGCCACCTGGAGGAACAAAGTGGAAATAAGCTCACTGTAACTCTGAGAAACATCAGAGCAGATGGGCTGGGAACAGGAGGCATTACTGAGACATGACAGCTTAGTAGTTTGAGTGATGATCTTCTGACCTCTCTTCCCAACTGAGCCTGGTACTGGGCACAACTCAGGGTCCTGCTGTCCTGGTCCTGGTTTTGGGTCTTGGTCCAGTTTTTTCTGCAGAGATAAAATTGTGCTCGTCACATTTTGCTGCTTTGGCAGAAGCTCCAAGAGTTATTAAATGACACTGAGGGTAGCCTTTTGTGTTGTGTCTTGGTGCAGTGGTTAGGTTTAGGCAACTAAAAAACTAGGTAATACTTCTGAAAAGATTGTGGATGTTGTTACAAAACACCCAGCTTTTAGAGGCACACATGATGCAGCTGAGGTTTGTTGGTCTCGAATAGTCTTGAGTCAGAGCCCAGGTCAGAGTTACTGACAGAACTAATAATAATAATAATAATAAACTTTATTTATATAGCACCTTTCAAGAGCATAAAAGTCACAAAAGTGCTTTACAAAGGCAATAAAGCAAAAAAATATACATATAGACATAAAACACAGTAAAGGGAGAAATAGACAGAACATATATAAATAAATAAAAAATCAAACAAAGGCAAGTCTAAACAAATGGGTCTTAAGCTGCTTTTTGAAGGTGTCCACAGTGTCCACAGATCTTAAATTCAGTGGGAGAGAGTTCCAAAGTTTAGGTGCCACAACCTCAAAAGCGCAGTCTCCTGGTTTTCAGCCTAGAACAAGGAACTACCAGCAGGCCCTGATCTGAGGACCTCAGAGACCTGCTGGTGACATAAGGCTGCAGTAGATCTTTAATGTAGGCCAGTGCCTGACCATGCAGAGCACTATATGTGACCACAATAACTTTAAATTGGATCCTAAATTTGATGGGGAGCCAGTGGAGAGCAATTAAAATTGGAGTCACATGAAACCTTTTGGGGTACCTGGTCAACAGTCTGGCAGCAGCGTTTTGGATTACTTGTAGGCGATCCAGAGACGATTTGCTGAGGCAGGTAAAAAGAGAGTTGCAATAATCCAGACGTGATGAAACAAACGCATGGATCAACATTTCCATCTCTGCTTGAGATGGAAATGTTGATCCATGCGTTTGTTTTCGTCAACTGAGTAAGACCAGAATGTTCCAGTTGTTTCAGGCACATTAGAAACAGATGATACTCAGTTTGGTACTTTTAGTTAAGTAAAGGATCTAATACTTTACATAGCTGAAGATACCGATAAAAATTCTACATTTTAATTTAAAATCCTGCATTGAAAATCCCTCTTTAGTGAAAGAACAGAGGTATCAGCTAAATGTCTGCCCTGAACTGGGTCTCTATGCTACACTTCGGTTACAGGACAACAGCAAATGGGGGAGGGTGGAGGAAGTTGTGGTCAGCAAAGATGAAAAAAAAGGCACAATAACTTATTCATACGTTTGTTTTTTTTTTTTTTTTTTTTTAAAAGCATATACAAGATATCACTTTTTAGATTACAATCGGCCACACTTTTCACACAACACTTTTCTTCATCCCTCACATCCAGGGCTTCTCCATCTTACTCTTTTCTCTCTCTCATTTCCTGATGTCTTTTCTTTGCGAGTTTGTCGCCCTCTGTCTCTTCTTCCAGGCTCTTCCGCCTCTTACTCTGCTCTCCTTTTTCCACTCTCCTCATCTCTACCTCCTGCCCAGTGTTCAGTATGTGTCGCTAAAAGGCTGCAGATATCTGCACTTCTATAGTTTCTTTTCATTTTCTTGAAGGCCAATCCAGCTGCACTGACCTACAGTTAAAGGATCTCTTTGTTTTGTAAAATCTGTGTTTGTACGTGCAGACTCAGATGAACAGAGGAAGGAAGGCCACTCTTCAACATATTCCTTTGCTTAATAATGAACTGTCAGGTTCAACATTCTTTAAATGTTCCTGATTCAAACGTATGATATACAGAGAAAAGTCTGACATGAAATAATCTGACATGTAGCGATAAAATCTGTCATTATAACATGACAAATCCCTTGTTACAGTATAGCTTGTAAAGTATGTTGTTAAAAGATGAAAATTAGGCCACAATCGACCCTTTTCACGGCGGACATTTTGAAATGTTGAAGCAGGAAAAAGCACAGATGGGATTAATAACATTAATGATGGCTGCGTTCCATTTAGGTGAGCCAGTTCCAGAGCCTGGGTGTATTGAACGTACTCACTCACTGACATTGTTTTTTGGGACACTTAATAAAATAGAGCTGTGGTTAATGTTAGTTACAGCTGTGCTTTTCCGTCTTTGACCAGTCAAAATGTCTGCCGTGAAACAGGTCTCTGTGCTGCAGTTATCTATCAACACCATCTAAAATTCCCATGATGCAATGGAAACAGTTTTTACTAAAAAGAGGTTTAACAGTAACATACTGCATGAAATATATTTAGTGAATATAGATAATGCCTAAATATCTGACAATGCAAGTAGCTCACACTTTGGTTACAGGACAACAGCAAATGGGGGAAGAAAGAGGAAGTCACAGTCGGCAAAGATGAAGAAAAAGGCATGTTAGTTTGCTTAAACTGTTTCCATATAAAGCACCTACAAGATATCACTTCTGTAATGACAATCAGCCACATTTTTCACACAATATTAATTAAAAACTATAACTCACCTGCTGAGACAAACAGCTGGAGTGAGGAGACATAGAAGCAATCCAATTACATCTGTCAGTATGTATGGAAAATACCACAGTAGACTGTTTTGTCCTGCACAAAATCAGACGTGAATTAATTTAGGTAGCATGAAGTTTGAACTTTGAAATGCTCTGTGTCTGGTGGAGAAATGATGTCCTGTTTTGTGCTCTACCTACCTTCAGGTTTCTCAGACACTGTTAAATTCCACTCAATAGTCCGTTGGCCTTTTATGGCGGTTAAATTACATCTATAGAGTCCTGCATCGTCATGCTGAACGTTAGAAATATTCAGCTTTGAAGGTAAGTTTAAGTCTATTTTATAGTGAGAGGTGAAATTGGAAAAATTCTGATTGAGTAAGACTGAATGAGCAAAAACAGATCTGCCTTTGGTCCAGTTGATTTGCGTTACATTAGCCATGGACATGTTGCAAGTGAGGATGATGGAGTCTCCCCTGGGCACCGAGATATTCCTCTGGTCAAATGTATGAATCTGTGGGAGAATGTCTGACATTAAAGGAAACAACTGATTAATTAAAATGCAATCAGTAATTTAAATTAAAACATGATTCAACACAACCACAAACAGAAATCTCCACTGTACCTGCAAAGACTTGACACACAACTAAAAGCTGAATCAAGAACAGAGCTGCTCCGGTTAAGCTGATCATGATGCCTGTCAGATAAAATACAGACTGGAGCTTTACCATTCGCCTTTGAAATATATTTGTGGAGGACGCGCAGAGAGCAGGAAGTGGTTAGCTGATGTTTGGCTGCTCAACACTTACGTTCAACTTAAAATCAAGTCACGTGAGAGTCCAACATACAATGATTTAATTTAAAATAAAAACTTGTGAATCTACCTTCTTGAAGATAAACTGTAAGAATGATTTCAACAGTGATAATTAGGATGCACAGAATGTACATGTTCAACTGCAGGAAAACCACCTCTGCATAGCGCTGAACCCACTTTAGCCACATACTGTGACCCTGCTGCCGAGCACACATTCAGACCATGTTCAATACATTTTACTGGGTCCTGTTGCTCAGGATTAAATATGCATTTCCACAGATGAGTCAACAGCTTCTGCTTTGGAAAAGTTTTGATCTCCCGACACTTTAATACTATTAAAAGAACCACATATGTTTCCTTATATTTATGAAATATTCCATCTCTCTCTCTTGCAGCATTAATCTTGTGAATCTGTAGTAAAATAGCAGAGAACACACTCACTCATGTCCTCCACTGGAATAAAAACAAAACTGCACTTGACTGTAGTCTCTGAAATATCATTTATTTTCAATGAAAAGAGCTCCTGTAATTCCCACACAGAACACTAGAGGGCACTGACCTCCACTTAAAGCCTGTTGAGTTCACTTGATTGCAATTACAGGAAACATTGTTAGCAGCTTTTCTTACTGAGCTCAGAATGCAGGAAAGACATAAAAATACCAGCACAGCACACTTATAATAAAGCTATCATATGCATGAGGACATATCAAAACACACAGAGTACCATAAATACACAAGTAAAAACAAATCCCTTAAAGTGACAGCACTGGTTTTAATGTATCAACATTAGGTAAGCTACAGGCATCAGGGACCCAGCTGTCCTCTCTCCGGTTGCCTTCCTCTGATGCACCTGGCTTGTCCATAGGTCTCTTATCATCTCCTCAGAGATTATAGATGGAATTGAGCCTCTCCATGTACTGACTCCTGTGCTTGTTTGCTCTACTGTCTGTGCCACCGCGCGGGTGACGGAGGGCCACCTACGGAGACAGAAAGTGAAAATTAAAGTTCAGCGCTGTCTCCGAGAAAGACAAAAACAGGAGAGAAATGTTAGAGAGTCAGAGATGACAAAGTTCCTCTGACCTCTGTTTCAGACTGAAGATGAAACTGCTCCTGGGCCGGGCTCTGGTCTGAAGTCCTGGCCCTGAGTTTTCTGTAAGGGTGAAGTCATGAAGAGTGTAAGAGACTGATCCAGACATCAGACATTGGAGAATAAACCCAAATAAATAGTTTAACAGTTAAACCCATAAAAAAGATGTAGTTCTTCAAATGACATGCTACAATTTATTCACAAAACAGCAGAGCCTTTAGATTAGTACAAATGTCGATACCACAATGCTGAAATATTCCATTGCAGTAGTAGTATTAGTACTAGCCCTGCATTGGAATTGATAAGTTAAAGCACATTAGTATTATCAGCAAGATGCACTTAAAGTGTCAAAAGTAACAGTATAACCACATCACCGAAATAAATGTTTGCATTGTACGTTTCTGCAAACCACAGAGCGGTTACATTTGTGTTTTATCATGTTGCAGATACATGGGAACTTTATGTCTCTTTACATTTCAACAACGCTGTGGTTAACGTGGTTATGTTTCGGCACAAAACTACTTGGTTATAGTTAGAAAAAGATCATGTTTTGTCTTGAAATTCTTTTTTGGTGGCACAATCCTGGCCTGAAATGCAGCAATGTCTCTGTAAAGAACAATTGCTTCTCACGGAAACACAGTGATGTGATTGGTTGAAAAGGAAATGCTTTCTGTGGCATTATCCCCACTAGAAATGCAGTGACGGATCGCTAAGAAACAAGTGGTTTAGTTCTTTGTTGGTCTTGAACAGCCGTCTGTGGTGGTCTGCAGCTTGGCAGGTGTCTTTCTTCAAAATTAGCCACAGTGAGTAATATATTATTACACATAAGGGGAGGCAGCTTTAAAGAAAAGTCACTGTGCTTTACTTTTAAGAGAGATTTAAAAATCAAGCATATATGATGCAATGCCAAAACACACACATTCACATTAACACTGTTTATTAGCCTCAGAAAACAGGAAGGTTTTGTGGTTAGCAGGAAATGGGCATGTCCACAAAAACTAAAATTAACTTAAGCAGTTCTTGATCTTATTCTGGGTGCTACCAAGAAGCCACAGTTGGAAGACTTGAGATGTGTGATGGGGGGTGTAGTCAGTGAGCAGGTCTGAAATATACTGGTGAGCTGAGGGATTTTAAAGTATTAAATGGGAACTCATCAAGTGATTCAGGTGTTGGCGTAATGTGATGCTATTTTCTTGTACTGGTAAAAACTCTGACGGCTGAATTCTGTGTGAGTTGAAGTCGTCTCATTGAGTGATATGGTAGAGCTAATCCAAAGAAAAGAGCATTGCAGTAATCTAAGTTGTTCTAAACGAAGACAATATGATATTATATTAAACTGCACAAAACACAAAGAGGCTATTATCACATGTGTCACTGCATCATATCATCCTGTGCTCATAATGAGTGTTAAATTATGTGTGGAGACTGCTTAGTCAGTCATCCTTTTTCGCAACACAAAGATCACAGAAAAGCATAAGTAATTTTTTTGTTTGACTCCTGTAAACCAGGGGTCTTTGACATTTTACCTTAGCTGACACAGAGACGGAGCAGGGACCCCCTCCTACATATACTGTATAAAATTAAGTTGCACTTGAGACAATACTCTGATTATATTTCAGGCCTTCTCCCGTTTGCTCTTGCCTGCAGCAGCTAAGTTAGCAGCATGGCCAGGTGCATTAGCCTCAACCTCTGCACTTGTGAGGTTTCTGAGGTAGGCGGTGTGTCAGAGTCTCTTGCTCGAAAAGTTACACAGTGATCCACTGTGGCTCACAAGAATTTTGTACACTTGGAATAATAATACAGCTAACGTGTTTCAACAGCACCTAACTGCTAGCTAACTAGTTAGCCTAGCTGTGCAGCACAGAAATTTAGCATTAGGGGGATTATACAAAGACTTATTTAAAGGATAGGTCAATTGAGGATTCATTTTAATGTGTATTATCAGACATGTTTTAATTTTTGGAGAAAAAAACCCCCCTTTAACTGCAGTAATTTTGCATCCCATAATAATGACAACTATAGGGTTACATTAACTAGCATTTATGCTTACTTATGACAATAATGTTTTCACTAGGAGAACTTACAGTTAGCTGGCTGTGGCCCATTGCATCAGCTGTTAATTTACTTTAAAGTTAATCTGTTTGCATGACTTTTCATCCATACATGCATGTAGCTACACTATAGATAACTGCACCAAAGCCTCTGCATGTAACGTTGCATTTTAAGCTCTGTAGCAACCACAACCACCGCTACTAAAAACAAGGTATCCAGTATTTATTAAGTCTTTACATTTTTTTGTCTTTTTCTTTTTGTTTGTTTTTCAATTATGCTCATATTTTATGTTAAAATATGTTGCGTGAAAACTTAAATTTCCCTTTATTAGGGTCTAAATATTATTTCAAATCCTTCCACAAGGTCATAACTAAAAATGATGGTGGAGAAATACTGATGATCACAGCGCTGGGTATCAAACCTCAAACTTTAGCACTGGTCAAAATGTATCCATAACACAAAATTCAAAAAGTGTCAGGTATCAGAAGTCGGTATTTAATGCTCTGTTTTTTAGGTTTTTGACTAATGCTTTGATGAGATATTTCACGATTTATTCCACAGAGTGCTCCTAATTTTGGAGTGTATCTTATGTAGGGAAAGCATTGAGCAGTTTGATATATTTTATTACATTAAAAGAGATCAATGCTTATGTTCCCTAAAGTACAGCCACTTTTTTTTGGCCAGAAACTATTCTGATTCAAGTATATTAAGTATAAATACATTTGAATCAGACTGTAAAACATTTTACTTGTAACATTTTAATTATAGGACATAAACCTCTCCCTGGTCCCCCCCAAATACAAAGAAAGAACAGGACATGAGCTCAGTGTCCTCAGCGATCGCTACGACCTTGACCTCATTTGCTTGCCTACCACTTTGTGCACTTCCTTGCATCTTTGCTTTTTCCACCGTGCACAAAAACACCTCGACCGAAGGTACCAGGCGTAAGCGTCACGTTTTTATTTGGCACCACAAAATAGTGAAAGTCATTTCACCTACATTACACATTTTAAGTCTAAGTGATGCCGATGAAACTCAGATAAATTAAACTTTATTTGAACTTATCCAGAGATTCGGGGGACCTTTTTTTTTTCTATTAATTGACAAAACAATCCAACCACAAAGTCCATTCAATAGCTGTTCTCAAGCTCAACTACTCAAAGCAGAGCTATGTAACAACCGTTGGATAAGCCTTATGGTGAGATTGTATTATTAAGCGCCGTATCCAAGGTCAAGAAGGAACCAATGCTGTGAGCACCACAAAGAAAATTCCATTTACCTTTTTTTTTAATTTGAATGAAGCTCAAACTGCAGATATTTCAAAACCTGGATATATAAAAGAAAGACTGACTAACTAATGAAAGATACCAGCAGGGGTGAGTCACAAATTATTATTAGTTTGTGATTTGATTTTACTCTCATATCAACATTTGTTCCCAGTACAGGCAACTGGCCTGTAACAGCAGAGTGAAATTAATTTGTACATACTTACAAATCTGAAATCTAAAAGGTGTAACTCACCTGTAGAGGCAAACAGCTGAAGTGAAGACACATAGAAGCAATCCAATTACAGCTGTCAGTATGTATGGAAAATACCACAGTAGACTGTTTTGTCCTGCACAAAATCAGATGTGAATTAATTTAGGTAGCATGAAATTTGAGCTTTGAAATAGACCATGTCTGATGGATAAATATTAGTCCTGTTTTGTGCTCTACCTACCTTCAGGTTTCTCAGACACTGTTAGATTCCACTCAATAGTCCGTTGACCTTTTATGGCGGTTAAATTACATCTATAGAGTCCTGCATCATCATGCTGAACGTTAGAAATATTCAGCTTTGAAGGTAAGTTTAAGTCTATTTTATAGTGAGAGGTGAAATTGGAAAAATTCTGATTGAGTAAGACTGAATGAGCAAAAACAGATCTGCCTTTGGTCCAGTTGATTTGCGTTACATTAGCCATGGACATGTTGCAAGTGAGGATGATGGAGTCTCCCCTGGGCACCGAGATATTCCTCTGGTCAAATGTATGAATCTGTGGGAGAATGTCTGACATTGAAGGACACAATCAATCAATATAAAATGAAATCTGCTAATAACATCTCCAGAAAAGCATGCATCACAAACACAAATATCCACTGTACCTGCAAACGCTTGGCACATAGCTAAAAGTTGAACGGAGAGCAGAGCAGCTCGGTCTCGGCTGAGCATGGTGACCATCAGACAAATAAAGACAGACTGAAACGTGAACATCAACTCTGAGATGCATTTGTGGAGGAGGCGCTGAGAAAAGGAAGTGGTTAGTTGCTAGTTAGTTGGTTGATTTGGCAGCTCGACACGAGGGTGTGTGTCGTATCTTTCGCAGAACATAAAGTTGTGTGTGTCACATGGGAATCACACAACTTGGAATACTTGAAACTCTTTGAAAATAAACTGTAAAACATTACACGGCAGTGATCATTTCCCCATTTCATTTCACTCAGTAGTACAAGATGTACATATATGTGCAATGTTCCGTTGCAGGAAAACCACTTCTGCATCATGCTTGACACATGTTAGCCACATTCTGACCCAAGATTCACAAGGGTTGCGCAGCATATTGAGCACTTGGGGTTCCTTTTAGTAGGCTAACCATAATAACCAGGTTTTGGTGATGGGACCCTTATGTTGCTCAATATTGTACTGACTCCCATCATGGGTGTGAAAACCACAAATCGTGAGCATCAGTCGACTTTCACATACTGACTTTCAGTTATTTTGACTTGTCACAGGAAGAAACGCACGGGTGTAATAATAAAGTTCATGATGGCTGAATTCCATTTAGCTGCCTCAGTTTCAGAGTTCTGGTATCGTGCATGCTGGCTCACTGTGGCACTGTCATGGCTTACACATTTTGGCTGATTTGAGTTGACGGTGCAGACAGGCATAGACTGTTCTTGACTGTCAACACCATGACGCTCCTGTTAGCTGTGCTGCCTCTGTTGAGAGTCATCTGGAAACACCTGTGTGGGTGTGCGGGGGCCTTTAAAGTCATAATGATAAACTGTTTTCACTCCTGCACAGGAAAAAGAAGTGCCCTTTGTGGTTACAAAATTTCAAATGCCACATGACAAACAGCTCTGTAGTAAAACGTGCCATCTTCAAGCAAATACTAGTACTTTGTTTGTTTTATTTGATCATAATCATTTAGCATTTTACCCTTGTGCAATAGTAAATTACTACTGGAACTTAAAGGTCCAGAGTGTAGGATTCAGGGGGATATACTGGCAGAAATGGAAAATGATCTAATGAGTATGTTTTATTTAGTGTATAAATCACCTGAAAATAAGAATCACTGTGTTTTCTTAATCTTAGAATGAGCCGTTTATTTTTACATAAGTAGCAGATACTCCTCCAATGAGTTCTCCATGTTGCACTGCTACAGTGCAGTGCACTCTACAGTAGGGCATTAACAGAAAAGTCGATTTGTCGATGTGTCAACGTCAGTGGAACAAGTCGACACCCCCCGGGAGGAGTTGACAAGTCGTGTGTTTTCCCCCCCCCCCCTCTCTCTCTCTCTCTCTCTCTCTCTGTGCTTGTGTATGGAATGCAATCGCTGCCTCTGATTGGCGTACTATAAGCAGAGCAGACTCTGCGAGGAATGTCCGCAGTCATTTGGGCTTTCATAGTCGAGCGCACTTGCACGTTGTAGTTTCCTGTAAAAATGTCCGTGAAAAATCCTTGCGATGTGAAAAATACATGCTGAGCAGTCACTGGTGCACGGAGTGGAGTCCACGCAGTCATAAAATCTGAGCTTTGCGCGCACAGGGCTTGCGGCCGTCCGCTTTGAGTCCGTGCGGACATCCGCAGAGTCTGTATGTTCAGGCCTTGACAGACACACATCACATTTGTGGAGATACTTCACTTTCCTCCGCCGTGTCAATGTGATGGCGTCATCAAATGACTTGTCGACTCGACTTTGACTTTAGTGACAGATAAGTCGACCTGAAAAAAATCAAAGTTGTTAATGCCCTACTCTACAGTAGCCCAGAATGGACAAACCAAACACTGACTCTAGATAGGGACAATTGTGATTTCGCCTTTTCACTGTTTTTGTTAGTAGCCCTTCTGCAACAAGCCAAACAGTGTTAGAAAAACGAAACTAGTTTTCTCAGTGTTTTCACTTGTTTAAATCACCGGGTCTCTTTGTTTGAGAGAGGGAGAGATCTCAGCTGATTATTCGGCTCCCGGAAATGACCGCCTCAACGTCCGGATCCGAGGTTATCAGAGAAATGGTGAGCACCAGGCCGCAACGTCAGGGGCTGAAAAATGCATGTTCCTTTAACGGCTGCTTGAGGCTGGCCCCAGAAGTCCCCTTAGACCCCCATGTTAAAATTCCCAACTTCACAGCAGAAATAAACATGCTTACAGCCAGATACAAAAACACTTTTGGTCTCTGTAGCTAATTTCCTCCTTCGTGACGACTGTACAGGGGGTGAATTTTTATATGACTCACCCTTTTACATTTTATCGAGGCTTAAAGTTATGCATAATAAAGGGTGGGCCGCTTTGAATTACAGGCTGTCTGCCGATAGTGACCCCAACTTCTCCGTCAGATCCACACCTTGCTCCTCCACAGCGCCAGCCTCTCCCTAAATATGGTCACTCCTGGCTCCAAAAAGCCAATAGCAATGGATGAAATGCCGAACTCGAGGCTTTAAAACGGATGTCCAAAAACCAATGAGTGAAGTCACAGTAGCCATTATTTTTCTAGTCTATGGTGAGCACATATTAGCAGGTGCTAAATTAGCGACCCAACTGTGATGAGCCGAACATTGTCAAAGATGATTAACATGAAACTGCTCCATTCAGTGTTTTTACTGGTTTTATTCACCTGGTCTCTTTGTTTTGGAAACCTTTGTGGTTAATTCTGCTCTTGGTAAAAAGAGCCTGGTGTCACTCCGAAGTCGTCATAATCCGGCACTTGGGCAGTGACTTGCTTGTCAGAAACCAACGAAAAAGGCATCCTTTAATGTCGGCATGATACGCAATTGGTTGCTGTTATAGTTTAACGGTGCCTGGCAGTTTCAGGGGGAAAATCCAACTGGGGCGGGTAGGAATGGTGGTGGATGGGTCCAACAAACACAGACTTTCACCTGAGAGAGCAGTGTTTGTGTCCTGTAAGATTCTAAAGCCAAAGCCTGTTCTTTTTTTGTCAACCTAACCATGTGTGTTTGTTGTTGAAGGGGGTAAAAGTCACTGTGTTGTAGTGACAGTGCATTTTGAAAGAGACTGTATGTAAACTGTAAATTTCCTGTGAAAGTGTAAGTGCATTTCAAAAGAAGACAATGCATGTAACAGGCAACTTCAATAACTAATGCACCCAGGTACCTTGCACATCGTATGTGGACATGGAAAGTCCAGGAATCCTAACCTGGAGTTCACGCTTGGCACGTGAGAAATTTCAGCTGGTTGCTGATATTTTTCTTTTTTTTTTAGTTCCTTGATGGGAATTGATTATTTCAGACAGTATTTACAGATCAGTGCAGTAAATCTTTACACCAAACCAAACTTTCAAGCAACTGCATGTCATCAAAATAAATGTATGGCTCAGTGGGTCTGCTATTGAGATGCTCAGCTGAAATATAATATAAAGCACAATGTCATCCTCTTATTAAGGGGCCATGTGTAATAATGTGATGAACCAAGCATCCTCATCTCGACTATATACACAAAACCTTCTAACAAGTGCTGGAGCCAGCAAAGAGATGGTACCTATAGGAATACTGAGAATATGACGACCAGCATCATGTAAGCATAATATCATTCAGCTCGGTCTTTGTTGTAGATTCTTTGTCTGTGCGGCCTTGTTGTGGTGCATGAGCCTGAGCAAGTGTACTCTGCTCCACTTCACCTTGGAGCCAATGTAGAGAGAGGTTGCAGAAAACATAATAATAGCAGCACATGTCTTCTCGTTTATGCATAGTATTATCTGACAAAAAAATCATTTGAAATGCTGCCAACCTGCAGAAATAAATTCTGCATCAGGGTATTTAACAAACAGGAACGTATCTAGATGATGACGTTACACCATGATAACCATGTCCATGTATATATGCACCACCCACACACAAACACGCAGACTCCACAACTACACGAGATGACTCTCATTTCCTTTATTTCGACCCACACACAAACACACTCCTCAGACTCAACTGTCAGAAAAAAAAAACAGAAACAGGAAACTCACACTTTTTATAGGTGTAAGAGGCAGACAGGTGATCGGATGCAGCGCTGCCTCTGATCACAAATATGTCACAAACGTGTCGCTCTGTTCTCAGGCTTTTATCAGGTTTGGCCTCCTGTTTAGATTTCCACTTTGATTGTGCTACATATATAGCATAATAAAGACCGGGCTGTGCATTTCTCAGGCTTTTCAAAGCAGAGTTGATTATGTATGGGGAGAGGGAAGCAGCAGCAGCGGTGGTGGAGGGGAATCAAGAGTAAAAAGCTGAGAAGGCTTTTAAGCAGTGTGAGGAAGTGCTTTAGCTGTGCTGTGCACCAGCAGGGGCTGCTGTAATCACCGTTTTTCCTACTTCCTGCCCAGCCTTACATCAGCAAAGCAGTAGGTCAGCATATGCAAAAAAAAAGTGTGTGTGTGTGTGTGTGTAGCTGTGGGGTAATTTATTTCTCCTTTTCTCTAAAGTGCCCACGTCTTCCCCATATTCTTATTCTCTCCTACTGTACCTACATTTGAAGCACCAGCAGGAACTGGTAAGTTTTTTTTTGGCACCTGATTCATACGGTGAAATTACAATATAAATCTGTGGATGTGTTATAAAGTGTTACCGTACAAGCTCCCTCACTGTCACAGGGCTGCCTCTCCCTCGCTCTTAATGCAGGGCTGATGGGGCAGAATTTGATTATAGGCTGAAAATCCATTTAAAGGGCACAGGCTGACAAAAGGTCTGCAGAGGGCCAGTGCTGCCTGAAGTTTAAAAAAAAAACAAAGCAAGCTCTTCAGTTTATCACCACTGAGAGAGACACTTTTTAACGGTATGTCTCACATATCTGTGTATGTGAAAAGGAAGGAAGGCAGTCAAAGATGATGCATGTCTGACACCTAGGCTTGTGTCTCTTTCTGTACGCCTTGTCCAGCCTACATTTTTGTTGTTATGCTCTGTGTCTGTATGTGCAAATGACGTGTGTGTGAGTGTGCACACGCTAAAGGGTTTTCTTT